AAAAAGAGTCTCACAGACTTTCCTGTCTGGGCTGGCTTTGAACCTTGATCCTCAGATCTCAGCCTCCTGAGTAGCTGGGATTACAGGTGTGAACCATTGGCTCCTGGCTCTGTCATTTTTTTGTTGTTGTCACGATTTTTGTTTTGTTTTTTTGGTGGTTTTGAACTCAAGGTCTCCCTCTCATTGGGCTTATTACTGAGCTGGCTTCTTACCCCTGGAGCCATGTATCTAGACCAGCTCCTTTGCTGATTATTTTGGATATAGACTCTCTTGGACTTTTCTGCCCCCAGGCTGATTTCTAACCTTGACCTTCCCTGAGCTTCTAATGCCCAGCTTCACTTTTTTTTTTTGTAGTGCATATTAATTGTACCATAGTGTTTCATCATGATGCTTTATACATGTATGCAGCCTTCTGAATAACTAGGATTACAGGCACAAACATGGCTTATCTATTTTTATCAGAATGACCCTCTGCTGTTTTCCCAGTCTCCTTAATCTTCAGCTGGGCGCTGGTGGCTCACACCTGTAATCCTAGCTACTCAGAAGGCTGAGGTCTGAGGATCATAGTATAAAGTCAGGCCAGACAGGAAAGTCCCTGAGACTCTTTTCTCCAATTAACCACCAGAAAACCAGAAGTGCCACTCATCTCCAATTAACCACCAGAAAACCAGAAGTGCCACTGTGGTTCAAAGTGGACCAAAAAACTGGAAGTGAAGCTATGGTTCAAGTGGTAGATCACCAGTCTTGAGCAAAAAAAAAATATCAGGGACAGCCCTTAGGCTTTGAGTTCAAGCTGCAGAACCACCATATATATATAGAGAGACACATACACACAGACACACACACACAGACACACATACACATACACATACACCCCACACAAATATATATCACTGAGATTCCTTATGCCATCTTCCTACATAGCTACAATGCATTTCAAAATTATTCACCATCCATTTTTTTCCTCATCCCCTTAACACAGTCCCAAAGTTAGAATCATGTTCTTTGTGTATATAAATGTACATATATAGATTATATTCAGGAAGGGGTGCTGTGGCTCAAGTGTAGAGCACTCACTTTGAGTTGAAGAGCTTGGGACAGCACCTAGACACTCAGAGTTCAACCCCATGACTGACAAAAAATTAAAAATTCATAGAATTATATTCATACATATGTGAACATGTATGTCTTTTATATCTAGCTGACCCATATGAGCAAAATATATAATATTTGGCTTTTTTTTTTTGTCGGTTGTGAGACTTGAACTCTGGGCTTGGGTGTTATCCCTGCCTTCTTCAGCGAGCGCTCTACCGCTTGAGTCACAGCGCCACTTCCATTTTTCTGATGGTTAATTGAAGATAAGAGTCTGACAAGCTTTTTCTGCCCGGGCTGGCTTTGAACCATGATCCTCAGATCTCAGCTTCCTCAGTAGCTAGAATTATAGGCGTGAGCCACTGGCGCCAGTTTATTTGGCTTTTTTCAACTTGGCTTTATATTGCTGAACTTAAATATTCTCCAGTTACATCAATTTTCCTATACCTTCTCTCTACTCACTTCCTCTCTCCCTTCTGCAGTCTCTGTACTTTCTTGTCCAAGGCTAGCCTGGGCAGAAAAGTTCACTAGGCTCCATCTCCAAAAGATGTGGCAAAAAGCAGTGCTGAAGGCATGAATCAAGTAGTAAAAGCCAGTCTAGCAAGCCTGAGGCCTTGAATTTAGTCATCTAAACTCTCTCTCCCTCCTTCCCCCCCTTCTCTCTCACACACACACATACATCCAAGAAATCTCCCTCCTACACAAAGCAATCTCCTGGTACTAATTGGCATTTTGTTAATTAGTCTCATTGTTGGCACCAAGTGCCTCTTTCCCCAAGGGAACCATTGCCTACTTAATGGTGGGGCAGGGTAGAAGCAGCAGCTGCCCCAGGACAGTGCACGGACCAAGTGGGTTTTTTCTGTTTTCACATCATCTGCCCTCTCTTTTATCTTGTAGGGCTCTTTTTTCATCTTCTTCCCCTAGATTGGGTCTTGCCTGGGCTGACCTTGAACTCTTCATCCTCTTGCCTCCGCTTCTTGGGTTCTGGGATTTCAGGTGTGTGCCCCCAAGTCAGGCCAGTCCTGGAGTCTTGACTGGAGGCAGAGAAGGAAAGCAGAGAAGGCTTAGGATATAAAGTGGCTAGGGCTAGGAATGTGGCTTAGTGGTAGAATGCTTGTCTAGCATGCATGAAGCCCTGGGTTCGATTCCTCAGTACCACATTAATTGGAAAGTCCAGAAGTGGCACTACGGCTCAAGTGGTAGAGTGCTAACCTTGAGCAAAAGAAGCTCAGGGACACAGTGCCCGGGCCGTGAGTTCAAGACCCAGAACTGGGGGGAAAAAAAGTGTCTGTAGGGGTTGGGAGTGTAGCTTAGGGGCAGAGCTAGTGCCTAACATGCTGGAGGCTCTGGGGGAAAAAAAGTATTAAACCCAGAATGGAAAGAGTCCAAGATCAGTGGTAGCTCTTGAGGACAGCTAAGTCTGGTCCAGTGTCCATTCATCTTCCAGGGGACCTATAATTAGTTTTCCTGGATCAGGCCAAGGGCACTGCTGCATGCAAAAGCACATGGTTCTATTACTAAGCTATACACCCAGCCTATCTTATGTTTGATATTTTGATTCTTTCTCCATCTTGCTCTTCCTTCCTTCCTTCCCTCCCTCTCTCTCCTATCCTGGGGCTTGAACTCAGGGCTTGGGTACTGTCCCTGAGCTTGATTGCTCAAGGCTAGCACTCTACCACTTGAGCCACAGCTCCATTTCTGTGTGTGTGTGTGTGTGCGCGAGAGAGAATTGCATCACACACTTTCCTGCTCAGTTTGGCTTCGAACCTCAAACTTTAGATCTCAGCCTCCTGAGTTGCTAGGATTACAGGGATAAACTACCAGATCTCAACTTGCTTGTCTTTTCTCTTTTCCTTTGTTTTCTTTTCTTTGCCAGTATTGGGATTTGAACTCAAGTGCCTGGCCATTGCTTGCTCAGCTTGCTTGTTGTTTGGCTGATGCTCTATCATTTGAACCACACTTCTGAATTTTTTGCTGGTTAGCAAATGAGCCATAGTGCCACTTCCAACTTTTTCTGCTTATGTGGTGCTGAGGAATCAAACCCAGCCTCATGCATGCAAGGCAAGCGCTCTACCACTGAGCCACCTTCCCAGCCCCACTAAGTACTTTCATATATATAATTTTATTTTATTCCAACCTCTGTACTATTATGTCTGTTTTACACATGATTATTGTAGCACTTCAGAGGTTAGTGATTTGCCTAAAGCACTAACTTCAAAATTTGTGTTTTACTTACTATTCAATGATCTTGATGTGAACCTGCCAGGTAACAAAAGTCTTCTTTTTTGGGGGGTACAGGGCTGGTCCCAGAGGTTGAACTCAAGCCTTAGGTGCTATCTTGAGCTTTCTTTGCACAAAGCTAGTGCTCTACCACTTGAGCCATAGTGCCCACTTCCAGCCTTTTCTGTTTATGTGTTAACTGAGAAATCCAACCCAGGGCTGCATGCATGCTAGGCAAGCACTCTACCATAAGCCACACCCCCACCCCCTGTCTGGGAGACTCTCAATCTCCAATTAACTACTCAGAAAGAGCTAGAAGTGGTGTTATGGCTCAAGGGGTAGAGTGCCAGTCTTGAGCACAAAGAAGCTCAAGGACAGTGTCAGGACCCTGAGTTCAAGCCCCCCAGAACTGGAAAATAAAAATCATAGTGAAAGAAAAGCCCAGAAAAGTAAATCCACTTGTTCAAAGTCAGTCAGTGGTCTAATAACATGCTTTTCTGTATTTTCATAAACATCATCAGGCTTCGAGGGAGGCTAATAGCTTGGGGCGCTGTGCCAACAGGACTAGATCTAAAGTGACTCTTGCAAGATAGGAAGGTACTGGATACAGTTTCTTCTCCTTCCACTTTGCCACTGAGGATTCCATCAATTGTTCCTCTGTGGAGAACACTTTGCTAAGAGAGGTGCAGAGATAAAGTTCGGCAGTAGGATCACTTACCCGGAGATGGGAGATCCACTCCCCAGCCCTCCCTCCTCCAGAGGCAGCCAGACTCCCCTCCCTCTCCGCCCCCACGTGGTTTCTCCAGCCGAGTTCTCCCCCAGAGCCCCCTCCCTCCGCGGCTCCGCTGTTGCCATGGCAACTGAGTGGGTGGACAGCCCGTCCTCTCCAGAGGCTAGCAGCCCTCGCGTGGGGAGTTACCATAACAACCCCCCTAGTAATAGAGGGGCTTGAATTCCGCCTCCCTTCCCCCGCAAATAGAGAGGAGGGTGGCTTGATTGGCAGCTGGGCATAGGGAAGAAAGAATGAAAGGGAAAGAAAGGCATCAAAGGAGATCTAAGGAGAAAAAATAAGGAAGAGAAAGGGGGGGGGGAGAAAAAAACAGGAAAGCGTGTGCGCACGCGCAACTGCCGGTGGGCGAGCTACGCAGCCGCCTCGGCCGCCACCCACTGCTTTCACGCCAGGTTCGCAAGGTTGCACAGTCCCCGCGTGCGCCTTGCGCCGGGTCTCCCGCGCGTGCGCGCAGGTGTGGGCGCCTAGGGGGAGGGGGGAGCCCTGCGCGCTCGCGTCACGTTCCCTCCCCCCCCCTCTCCTGGGGCTCGGCCGCTCAGCGCCTGCGCAGAAGCTCCGGCGGCTCGGGTTGCAGGCTCCCGGGCGCGCACGCTCCCCTCAGCCGGTGGGTCGGTCCTCCCGCCGGCCCTCTCCGCCCCGTTCCACGGGGGAGGCGCGGTGGAGCCCGCCCCCAGGGTCCCCCCGATGGGGTTGAAGCGGCGTCGGCGGCAGCGGAATAACCGAGCCGGAGCGTGAGCGGCCCCGGGGCCCGGTTTCCCCCCGCGGAGGCCATGGGCGACTCAGCCCCAGCCCGCAGCCTGGACGACATCGACCTGTCCGCCTTGCGGGTGAGCGTCCTCCCTCCCCTCTCCCGGGTCCCCCTCGCACTCCATCGCCTCGCTGCCGGCGCCGGGGAGCGGCGGCCGCACGCTTCCCCGGCTCCCCGCTCGTCCCCTCCGCCAGCGCCGGGCCCCTCGGCGCTCCTCGCCCCGTTCCGGGGCTCCCGCCGCCCCGGGGCCCTCGGCCTCCGCTCGTTCTCCTCGCTGCAGATTCTGAGAGCCAGTTCTCGGTCTCCACCCTGTGGGTGCCCCGCCTCCACACTTGCCTGACCCCTTTCCCTTCATTGTGGGGGGTTCGGGACTCCCTCCAGAGTATCTGAGGGTCACCTCTGGGTTTGCCTGCACCCCACCGTCCCCAAGCCCACGGAGAGACTTCCTTGTGGCCTCTCACCCATCTACCCTCTTGCTACCCACTTTCTCCTTCCTCCACCTCCTCTCTCTCGGCTCTTCAGATTTGACTTTGCAACTGCCTTGACAGCCTCCCCCTCATTCTTTCTCTTCCTCGCCTACCCCTGAATCGCAACTCTCTGCTGGTCGGCATTTCAGCCTCCCACCCCACCCCACCACATCCACGGTCTCCCTCCATCCCACATTCATTTTTCTGTATCCCTTCTCTGGCGTTTCAAGTGCTGCAGTCCAGATCCAGGCATTTCCGGTCTCGGGGTCCATGCAGATTACATTGCCAACTCTGCAGCCGTGTGTGTGTGTGTGTGGGGGGGGGGGTGCGGATTGACAAGTGCACTGATTCCCTTGGGAAACTCGAGCTGGGAAGAGGATGTTTACATACATGTACACACACAAAACATATGCTGCGTGTTTTGGAAGGCAGTGAGGGTGCAGGCCATGGCAAGCTGTCTCAGGGGAGGTGTTCATTAGGAAAGGGGTTAAGAGGAAACCATCGCAGCGGAACCCCATTTCTTGTCCACGTGGTCTACTTACTTGCTCTCCTTTAAGAGCATTTATGTTTTTCTCTCAGGAAGCTTTGGCTTAAGGGCAACATAGTGATTTCAAGGTGAACGTTCCAGACTGTTCCCCAGGTGGTGTTTTGATCCTGTACCCTTTCAGGTTTATCAACAGGCCAAGGTGGGGTGGGGGGGGCGGGAAGAGGAGGAGGGAAGGAGCGAGAGTGCGATCCAGCAGTTTTTTTTTTTTTTTTTTTTTCAGGAAACCCCTTGTGTACATTGTCTTATGGTTTTTGAGCCTGGGGTATGTGGGTAGCAGGGTGGTGAGAGGAGCAGCTTGCCCACACATAAATGCCCCTGATAGGACTGGAGGGAAAAAGAAACTAAAGAGAGCAGAGTCATGTTGTTAATTGGGTTTCTCTAGGTGACACACTTTTTCTTGCCATTCAGGTCATAATTTGTTTGGTGCAGTACTGGGCTATGAGACCTGACTTGCTGGAGATAAAATAAGTTGCTGAGGAGAGAGACCGAGCAGTGAATTCCCATTCCCCCATGTTTTCATAGGGAGAGAGTCTGAAGGATTCAGAGGTTAGCCTAGTCAGGGTTTAAACTGGGGTGCTCACCTCAGTTGGGATGTAAGCAGGCTGGAAGTCCAGGTTACTAGTAAAAGTTTCTTCAGGTACACTTTAGGATGAGCCTCCACCTTCCTGTACCATCTTGGTTATTGATAACTTTGCCCACCAGTTCTTTGGTTTTGGTGACTGAAATATAATACAAAGTGGGTGGATCCAAACCATGACCTTTGATTTTGACCCTTGTAGGACTCTGCTTGCTTTTCTTTTTGTTTCTTCTGGTAGCATGGCTTGGCCCCCAACCTGAGATTTCCAACAATTCTACAAGTACCCTTTGACCTTGGAAATGATATTTCCCTCTGGACTTCCTGCTTAAAGAACTGTTAACTTCCTTCTTCAATTATCTCCTGCCTTATTTTCCTCTCTTTTTTTTTTGTTTGAGAGAGCCAGGTGACCTGTTCCCTTGTCTTCTGTGCGTTCTGCTTAGGATCCTGATGAAAACATTGCACATCCTCTTATACTACCACCATAAGACTTGAAAGAGCTAGCTGAGTTGTCTTTCTCATAGAGCTGGAAAGGACTGTTTTCTCCTTGCTGCTGATCCTTTCTCAGTGCCATCCCCTCCACATCACCTCTGAGAGCTGCTCTGGCAGGGTTAAGCACTCAGTCATCCTGGTTTAGCTCCTGACTGCTTTCCAGCGAGACGTGGTAACCTGAAGAATTTGCAGCCAAAGTGTGTTTCCCTTTACTGTATCATCTTGTGTTGGGGACTGGGGTAGAGTAGCTGGCCCTAGAGAGCCCAAGTTGTCTTTCTCCTCTTGTTTCAAGATAAGGCTTGCTTTTCAGCTAGTGATGAGATTAATAGTACGCTATTAACCATGTGTGGGGAAGCCAGATGGACCTGACACTTTGTGACCACAGCCGCACTTGACCTCTTTGTGGTCTCTGCCTCTACCAACATGGTAGTGTGGGCTCTGGAGTTGCATTCTTAAGTTTTTAAATCCTGACTTACTTGCTTCTTCTATAACTAATCCTTCATTCTCCTTTGCCTTCCCGCCCCTTACAGCAGACTATAAACCTAACTTTTTTATCTACATTCTATTTTCTCACCTATCCGGTGGGAATGGTAATAGCACCTGAATTTAGAGTTGCTGAAGATTAATGAAATGCTGCAAACGAATACCTATAGTTCTTGGTGCACAGTGATCATGTATGTGGTAGTTTTTATTATTGCATCAGTCAGAGAAGCCTTCCAGAACAATTCTATCACATCCTCCTCTCCTTGCTGTACTTATTCTTGTTATTTGTTCATTTAGTGGTACTGAGGATGGAATCTAGGGTTTCATGATTGCTAGGAAAGTGCTCCACCACTGAACACCAGTTTATTTTTTTCTTTCAACCTTAACATGTAGTTTCAGGTTGGGGGAATAGCTCGGTGGTAGGTTTGTCATGCACAAAGCCCTGGGTTCAAGCCCCTAGCACCACAAAAGTAAAATATAAGTGAAAGCATGGATTTTGACTGTTTTGTTCATTTTTGTGTGCCTCAAACAATATTTTGTTCATAATGGGTTTCACATGTTTGTTGAGTAATAACAATCATTACAATAATCGAATATAACACTTGGTATAACAATGAAGAAACTCAGCACAGTGCTAAGAGTTTTTCCACCCCTAAACATATACATATACATACACATTGCAAACATGATTACAAACATGTCTTTTTTGAGATGTTTTTAGATTCAGACCTTGTCTTGCTTAGATGCAAGCTTCCATCTGAGTGATGACCCTTGCCCTAGTGTTAGGATCATCCAAGAGAAAATTTGGACCTCTTGTTTTAAATCTCCTTTCTCTGTGTCCAAGCCTGGTTATATTCCAGAAGAGCCTTGTGATTTGTAACTCTGGGCTTCTCACAGTGGGTAAAGTATGAACGGAAGTGGGCAGGAAATGTTGACAGATCCCAGGCTGTCCTCTTTCCTTTCTCATTGCCTCTTTTTTGGTTGACCCATTTCATAAATCTCTTACTGCCCAGCCAGCTAGAAGTTTCAGACCACAGAGGAGCTGGTCTGTGTTGCTGTATTGAAATGATGTCATGGAGGACATTTAAGAAGGTCTTATTACTAGGTGGTAGTTGTTGATGGAGATATTCCTTTTCAAGTGGTTGTGTGGTGGTGTGTCTGTTCTTTGGGGAAGTCCTTTCCCCTTCAAGTAACTGTAGAACCAGTACCAGTTGGAAAGCTGGCAGCTCGGGGCATATGTTTCTAGGCTGCTGAGCAGTGCAGGACTGCTGCTGTGTTCTGATGTGAGAGCTGTCCAAATGTTGACAGCAGACAGGGGACTGGGAAGACTGACCTCCTTCAGCAGAAGGGCATTTAGTGCCTTTTTTTTCCCCCCTAGAAAACTGTACATGGGGGTAGTTCTTTCCAAAAGTGCTGGTGACATTTGGAGTGAGATGCTGCTATAGCAGAATGATGGAAGATACTTTAGAATGTTGCTAAAATTAGGCGTTCAGTCGCTTCCTAGACAAGGGGAGGGCTACAACACAATATTTCAAGTGGTGGGAGAGGACAGATTGCCATTGCTCTTAGCAATACATTGAGGGGAACTTTGTGGAAAAGTGAGGTTTTGACAGGTAAAAGGAAGGTGGGGCTGGGAAGGTGGCTTAGTGGTAGAGTGCTTGCTTTGCATGCATGAAGCCTTGAGTTCGATTCCTCAGTACCGCATAAGCAGAAAAAGTTGGAAGTGGTGCTATGGCTCAAATGGTAGAGCACTAGCCTTGAGCTGTAGAGCTGAGGGACAGCGCCCAGGCCCAGAGTTCAAGTCCCATGACCGACTGAAAAAAAAAAAAAAAAGGAAGGTCAGCAAGACAGCCACCCAGTGTTCCCTTTACTCTTACCTTCAAGAGCTTGGTTAACATCATGCTATATGGGATCTTGATGTCAGATCAGGCTTCTGTTGCTTTCAGCTATAAGCTGTGTGCCTAACATGCACAGTTAGGGTTATGTAGAACATTCATTTAAGGGACCAAGGGACAGGAAGTGTTTTGTTGCTTTTGATAAGCTTGTGTTCTGGTGTAGCTCTGTAAATAAGAAATACAACCCAACCATATACTATAGTGCTGGGCCTGGAGAGCATCTCCAGAAGCTGTCTCTCTGTGGAACCTTTCTGTCTTCAAAGTTGCATCTGAGAAAGGACTCAGTACTATCTTTCTTGCAGCATTTAGACACTAGGTATTGTCAGTGTTCCATTGAGAACCATATTCTAGATCCTATGGGAAGGTTGAGATATTGTACTCACTATTATAGTAAACTGCTTAACTAGAGTTCTGTAACATCCATCTAAGAAATGCCTTTGTAAGCTCAGGCTTGTTTTCTCTACCCACCTCTTTCTGTCTCGTCTATCTCCATCTCTCTCTGTCTTTGTCTCTGTCTGTCTCTCTTTCTCTCTTTCCTCCTCTCTCCCTCTCCCCTCCTCCCTGTCTCTCTTGCTCTCTCTTGGATTTGTTGGTATTGTTTTGTTATTTAGATGGACTCCA